GATTTGAACTCGGATCGCAAGATTCAGAGTCTTGAGTGCTAACCATTACACCATGGAACCTATAGTAATGTTGGTTTAGTTTAATTACTAGTGCTTCAATTTTGGTCAATTACTGTATAGTATTGAAATGAGGGAACCTAACAATTCTTAATACATATAAGGATATATTAGTCCATATTATGAACCAAAGTAAATCAATACTCTTTTATTCTATATAATAATACTTATAAAATATTTTAATACAATATTTTTGATAAAATTGCTTTTATATCAAAACTGTTAGTGAAGTAATTGTTGAATGGCTTGTAATACTGTTTCATATATAATATTTTGGTCAATACTTGCGTCCAAATATTCTAAATAAGAAATTAAACGATTAATTAAAATGTTCACCGATTGTCACACTAACCAATTGGCACTTCATTTTGAATGCTTTTCATAGCAATCATATTTTGCAAATACATGGGCCAAACGCACACTTCAAAATAGCCTATTGGGTCCGGAGGTAGATATGTGCGGGCATTCCGGCGGCAAACGCATGAATTCTTATCCAGAGTCAGAAAGAATTTCTTGTCACACAAATCCGACATTTGTCTGGAAATTAAATATTACATAAGAAATGAATTATTAAGAAATAAATATTTACTTATTATTTAATATAAGATGTCCCTCAAGGATAAGAATGGGTGAGTGTTTGGGCGGCTCTTTGGTCAGCACCAAATCGATTGCTTTATTAAACAATTTCCAGTCCATACTCGCCATTGACTCCCAGTTCTGGTGTCTTATTGTCGGACTTACGTCCAGCCATTCGTGGTTGGGGTCGTCATCCAGCTATCAAATCATTGATTTAAAAGTAGTTTCAAAACTAATGCTAAAAGTATAAGAATGAGAGTACTCTGTAAAACTGATCCTGACTTAAGATAACGCATTCTTCGTAGTGTTGCTTCAAACGCTCGGCGAGTGTAGTCTTTCCACCGCACGTCACACTTAAATACATGTACAGTATATTACAATTTTTAATGTATTAATGTGTTATTGAATTAATTTTTTACATCGAGTTTAACCTTTAATTAAGTTTTTAAATAATATCGGAATATTACGATAAATAAAATTGTAAAAATAAATACCCAGAAATTGCGATTACTTTCCATTTGGACGACATTTGGCTGAATAATTATTTTTGAATATCTGTAAATTGTTTGTTAATTGTTAAATATATTAATCACCAAATTGCAATTTACATAAATAAATTTATAAATTATAACACATTTATATAAACAAATATAATGCATATACTGTATAATAGCATAGCATTTAAAACTACTAAACATTTATAATAAAGTGATAACCAGTTTAGTAAAAGTAATGTCAAATTTAAACACGAGATAAGAGTTTTTAAAATTTGATGAATTGATGTCATAAAATATTTTATGGGTCATAATTAAGCGCTTTAATCAAATTTTAACATTAATGCATTAACACTAGTACAGTGTAGTGTAGTACTGTAGTAGTTACACTACAATTCATTGAATAATTATATTATGTTAATCTAAAATTTAATATTATAATATTATTAATTCATTTTAAATTAAGTCACAATTGTCTACTGTAGTGAAAATTGAATTAACATGTCACTTTATGTAAAACTTTTTGAATAATAAAATTCATAGCAATTATAACTTGTTGGGAAATATGAATAGATATTTTAAGAATTAAAATTATTAATATTAAAGTGTTTCTACTGTATATTGAGATTTACACAAATATTTGCATCTCAATAAAAACACCAAAACACCTAAACTCTTCTCAATAAAGAATGGAAATTAAAGTATGAGATAATTAACTATGGTCACTTTTAAATAGACATGACGTACATTGAGTATTATAGTGGTCTATTTTTTAACCCTATAAATCCACATTTGCTCTAGATGTAAAGCTCTTTATTTGCAATTCTTCAATATTAAAGCGTGAAATGAATACAAAATGTTTACGAAATCGTAATCGTTAGTTTTTAAAAAATCATATTCATATTCTTAAATTCTTATGAATCACTTCTCATTGCCAGTAATTATATTGCTAATAATGAACAATATGTGATAATTATTTGTTCACATTGTTATAACTTATAACAAAAATATATCAAATATTTATTTATAAATTTAATGGTCATATTATGGCCGATAAAACTTAAATAAATTTTTCTCATGAAAGTAGTAATTCTATATTTGTATCACAACTTATTGTCAATTAAGTGCATGATATCTGAAAAATATTTACATTTAATTTATATCATACGACTGTCGTATTACGACATATGATTTAATATAAGATAAAATTGACAAATATTTACAATATATTTCTACATTTACTTTGTTTTTAGTTTAATTTAGTTTTAAATATATTTATTGCCTAATATTCTTACTATTCATAAACCAAAACAATATGAATGTGTACTAAATTATCATTTTACATTAAAAGTGCTAATATTAATAACCGCACACTTTTAGTAAAAAGTTGTTACCATTAAACTAATTAACACAATATTATTTGCAGATACAGTGCATGTAAAGTTTTATATTGCAATTATATTAAATAATCGATTGGTAAATCAAATATACAAGAAATCAATATTGAATATTGAATCTAGATTGTTTAGTTCAATGAATTCTACACAGTATTAGCAGTGTTTAAGCAATGATTAGCAAAAAATTAAAAAATTGTTGATAAAAATATATATTTCATGGTTTGTGTCAACAGTCATACCATAAGTATCGATGATTAGTGTATTGACAGAGTATTGGATGTGCTATAAAGTGATGTAAAGTACTG